ATGTCGGGAATGAGAACTTCCTGGGCCCGCGCTCCTTCCTGCCGCCTTGCAAGCTTCGCCAGTTCGTGCTCTAAGCGCTGATCCAGCTTCTCGATGCGGCGGTGGAGGTCGGGGGCCTGATCCTGGAGCGCCTTGGGGGGGGGCCTCGCAGCCGCCGCCAGTTGGTCCAGCTTGGCGCGATAGCGGTCCGCGGCCTCTTCGTCGCCAATGCGCTTGGAGAGGGAGGCCAGCATCTGCAACTCCTTTGCGTCGAGGGGGCCGTCGGTCGCGCCTGCGGGCGCTCCGGGCCCAGGCGAGCGCCCTGGCACCTGTGGCCCAGAAGGGGGGGCGACCCACTCTCCAGGCGGGTGGTGCCCAGGAGCGAGGAACGCCCTGCTGATGAGCCCACGCACCACCAGGAGTGCGAGGATCGTCAATGGAGGGCGCGTGGCGGGCTGCACCACAGTGCTTGCCATGCCAATGCCAGACGCTCGTCATGCCGCACCCGCATGAGACACTCTTCCACCGGTCGCCGCCCTGAGCCTGGTATTGCTTGGCGGTCTTGCCCTGGCCCTTGTCCCCAGCTGCTGCTGCTGCTGCTGCGCCCTGAGGTGCCCGAAGAGCGCCAGGGCGGGGAGCTGCCGCCGCCGCTGCCCGCACCGCCATGGGACATGGGAGCTGGATGGGAGAGAGAGGGAGAGAGAGAGAGAGAAAGAGAGAAAGATAACAGATATCGAAGCCAACATTTTCACCCGCGGTTACCTTGCCGTTCTGAAGAGAAGTATCCGCAAGCGCAGCACCTGCGCCTGAACGGCTGGAGGAGGAGTAGGAGAAGGTGGAGGAGGATGAGGAGAGGAGTATGATGATGAGGAGGATCATGATGATGAGCAGGAAGAGGAGGAGTATGACATACTTGCGCAGGACCTGAGGTTTTCTTCTTGAGGTACAGACGGCGATGATCAGTTCGACAGATGACATCGGCGCGGCCGGACGGACGGACGACGTCTGGACGAGCTGCGTGCAGCTCTTTCAGGAGGGGAAACGTATATTCATGTTGAGTGGGGGCCCCGCGCGCAGAAGGTTGATGGGGGCGCACGAGACGGCACAGGACCCATCCTGGTTCGTTGATGACCGAACCCTCTTCCCCCGTAGAATGTAATCACTGGCGGGAGGGTTCCGAGGGGAGGGTCCTGGGGGCGGTATCGGCTAGATCTGAGGGTGGTCCCCGGGCCCCCCCGAAACATTTTGTGAATGCGCATTTTTACACATATATATATATATATATATATATAACGCCAGATGGGGGACCGCCTCCCTCCTTCCCCCCATCCCCAGGGCGGTCCGGATGCGCAAATCATGAAAAACGCAAGATGCCCCCCCCCCTTCCCCGGCAGATCCCCCCCAAGCAGAGCTGAAGCTCTTGTTTAGGCTCAGCGCTGAAGTTCTTGCCGAGGCTCCTTGTAGTTCACACGCCGGATCGGCGGATTCCGGAGCTCAGTGCAACGGCCTGATGACCTCGATGGGGCCAGGCGATCTGTCAGCAAAACACGATATAAGGCGGGAAGGCGGCGGCCCCGGTGAACATCAGTGTTTCATTGCGCATCGCGTGACGCTGGGCGGAATGTACAGCTTTGTCTGCAGCCTGTCAGGTCGGAGATGTCAAGCTCAGTCTGCCGCCCTGGGTGCTGAAGACCAGCTGAGAGCCGCACGTTCACACCCTGAGCAGTAGCGTTGGAATCATATCGCTATCCCCGGGGACGGGAGGGTAAGCGAGGCGGAGGATTGCTGCAGCAATGCCTGCGGCACAAGAAGCCAGTTCCAATTTAACCATCTGTCACATCTGGTCGCGCCACCGCGCACGGTCCGCCGCCGCGGCCGAGGGAGAGGCAATGGACAGAGAAGGCCGGGGGAGGGGGGGGAGCGGAGGGAGTCTCTCCCACATGGCTGCTTCGCTGTGCAGGAGGAGCGAGGTGTGGATGGAAGGGCGGCCCGGCCTGGGCAGTCTGCACCGCACTGGCTGTCGGCGTCGCCGCGGTCGTCGTCCCTGTGGGACGGACGGTCGCCCGCCCAGCGGTGGCCGCTGTCGGTGTGTCGGGCGACCTCTGCTGTCTGGGGCGCCGCCTCGGTGCGTGCCGTCTCCCCGCCTCCCCCGTCTCCAGTTCCCTTGGGGGAAGGCGCGTGCTCGCCAGCGTGAGCCCCCAGGCGGTAAGTACAGAAGCGCTCGCACCGCTGAGGCGTAAGCTGTGTGGTGCAGTCCGCGTGGTGTAGATTATGCGATGCCATTTATACGCACGTGCCTGTGTACTCCAGATTTCGTAATAAAGGGAGGGGGGTCTCATTTCGGGGGGGGGTCTCTTCCAGGCTATCTTGGAGGGCCTGGGGGGTCTGGGGACGATGTTTTGGAGGGTTCTCCCACGGGGGAGGTCTGAAATGGCTTGTCTTGGAGGGTCCAGACCCCCTCCCTTTTATTACGAAATCTGGAGTATGTATATCTATGCGGTGCAGTATGTGTGGTGTAGGGTGTGTGGTGCCAGCTGCGGGGCGTAAGCTTGTTGTGTGAGCCTGTGTGGTGTGAGCCGTGTGGTGGCAGCTGTGCGGTGTGAGCTGTCCGGTAAACGCTGGGCCGTCACGAGGTGCCCACGGGCGGGCGTCGTGCTACCCAACGTGGCTGCAGGGCTCGAGCCAAGCGGCGCTTGGGCGATTCTTGTGGACCGTCTCCGTCTCGACGTCGCTTCGCACCCAGAGGAGGAGCGAAGACAGGACGAGGGAGAACGAGAACAGAACGAGGACGAAGAGCACCTTCCTGCCTCGAGCCCTGCGTGGACCGTCGTCGTCTCGGCGTGGCTTCGCACCCAGAGGAGGAGCGAAGACAGGACGAGCTCCTCCTCCTCCTCGTCCTCCTCCTCCTCCTCCCTCCTCTTCTCCTCCTCCGCCTCCGCCTCCTCCTCCTCCTCCTGTTCTCCCTCCCGTTCCTCCTCCTCCTCCTCCTCCTCCTCGTTCTCCTCCTCCTCCTCGCGACAGCCGTCGATGCCCGCCCCGGGCACGGGGGGGGGGCAGCGGGGCGAAGCTTCGAGTCGGGGCTCTCCCTCCACAGGAGGAACATCCAAGAGTAGTCAAAAACAAAATACTCTGGGGACGATTCTCTGGGACTATGTTTGATTCTCTGCGGGGCATTCTTGGACTATGTCCAAGGTGTCGTCCAAAAGCAGCCTGTAGGGGGACATGCCCGACCTACGCGTAGCTTCGGGAGGCCGCACCCGCGAGCGGGCGCGGGCGCCCACGAGGCGAGTCCCAAGTCGGGCCTGCCCCTCTCGGGCCGGACGGAAGGGGGGGATTGGGACAGGGGTTGGGCGTGGCTTAATGGGGGGGTCACAAATGGGGGGGTCAAAAAAGGTCCCCTTTCGTGCCCCTTTCGGGCCCCTCCGGAGCCCCTAGGGGGCTCGTTTAGGTACCGTTTGGGTACCTTTTCGGACTACCCGCGACACCCCCCCATTTGTGACCCCCCCATTACGCGGCGCCCAAAGGGGGGGGTACGAAGTCTGCTGCATGCAGCTGGTTTCGGCCCCGCCGAGGGGCCCATTCCTCGATACACAGCCGCCTCCGGCGCCGCGAGGCGCCCGGAACATGAGCTACGTGAGCTGATTTCCCCCCCCCCCCCCTTTTGCTATCCCCCCCTTTCGCCCGGCCCGACCCTCTACAGGACGAATGTTCAAAGGTAGTAAAGAAGTAGTCCGGGGACGATGTTTTGAGCATGTCTTGATCATTTTGGAGTACGTTTGGAGTATTTTTCACTTGTCGTCCAGACTCCCCCTGTATGGGGGACATGCCCGACCTAAGGCGAGTCCTCGGATGCCCAGCAGATCCTTGAAGTGACCGAAGTAGGGACGCCTGAGTGCGAGCACCATGTGGGGAGTCGGGCTGCTCAGACAAGAGGGGGAGGCTCGAGCACACATCCCCGGAAGGGGGCCAGTCGGACGTTCCCCCCCCATATCGAGGATGGGCGCCCGCCACCATCGTGTGCGCTTGAGTTTGGGCCCGCGTTGCTTGTCCAGTCGAAAGTCCCACACGCGGCTGGGATTGGGTCCGCCATACTTCCTGTCGGAGGCGCGGGAGGACTTCTCGGTGCATCGCCAGGGGCAGAGCTGAACGACGAGCAAGGAGCCTGCCACACACACACAAACACAAGCATACAAGCACACTCACAAACACATACAAGCACACGCATCAACACGCACAAACACAGACCACCACACACAAGCACAAAGATGCACACTCGTGCGCACACACACACAAACGCACATACACACAAACACGCACACACACAGACACAGACACAGACACAGACACAGACACACAGACACACAGACACGCAGACACACAGACACAGACACACAGACACACGCCTCCCCCCCCCCACACACACACACACGCACACACACGCACACACACACACACACACACACACGCACACACACACACACACACACGCACACACACGCACACACACACGCACACACAGGCACACACACACGCACAGACACGCAGACACGCACACACAGGCACACACACACACACGCACACACACGCACACACGCGCACACACACGCAGACACACGCGCACACACGTGCACACACGCAGTCACACGCACACACACGCACACACACACGCGCACACAGGCGCACACACACACACACACACACACACGTTCACACGTTCACACACACACATTCACACACATTCACACACATTCACACACATTCACACACATTCACACACATTCACACATTCACACACACATTCACACACACACACATTCACACACATTCACACACATTCACACACATTCACACACATTCACACACATTCACACACATGCACACACACACACACACGGCTGCGCGTAAACATGCACCAACGCACACGCACACGCACACGCACACGTGCTTACACGCACACGCGCACATAATTGCACGGGAGCTCACGCTGCACCACCCGCAGCTCAGCCGCGGCGGCCAGCGGACCGCATTCGCTTTTTTTCATTGTCTCGCAACGCGATCCGGGCCTTTGGCGTATTCTGCCGCACCCTCGGGCCGTGCGAGCGGACTGCTTGGCCATGGCCCAGGGCGGCGCGACGCTTTTGGGCCGCGCGGCTTCTCTTCTTCGGAGACGGGGGCTAATCTACAACCACCGTCTGGGGAGCGAGCTTCGGGGACCTCGGCGGGCAGTGGATGTAGACGTACTCGGGTCCCGTGAGGTCCACATGCATACATGCATTTTATAATATATGCGTGTGTATATATATAGATGTGTGTATGTCTATCTGTATTTACATATACATATACATAGATGTGTGAAAACACCTCTCCGAGGGAGTGGAGCTCAGAGGCGAATAATGTCAAGCCATTCCCCTTTTTTCTGGCCGTCCCGCCAGGGACATCCTCAACAATCAGAGGATCGGACGCACCCACCCCTCACGCAGACCGCGACGTCACTGTCACAGAACAAATTCGACTTTCAATATTCCACCGTAAAAAGGTTCAAACACAACGGATTTCAACGATGTTAGACGTCTATCTACGAAAACGAGCGTTTGGAGTGAGGCATCCCCAAAACTTGAATCCCAACGTATTCAACGTTGCCTTCATATTCTTCAAAAAACAACTTCGCTCGTGACATCCTGCAAGCAATGTCTTCGGAGCTTCTTTTCACCTGCAATCGCAAGGTGTTGGACACCTTCCTGCGCCACACATCGCGCGGTGTGGCAAACCCGCCTGCGTTCGGTTGCGATCCCGCTGTTGCACCTCTTTCCCAACGGCTCTCTGGAGATCCTCATGATCCGCCACTTCTTTCTCCGCTGCTTCTCATCTCGTTCCTCCTCCTCCTTCTCTGGTCCGACTTCGTATTCCTCCTCTTGTCCATGTTCTGCGATGCTTCCGCGATGCTGTTTTTTTTCTGTGTGAGTCTGGGCACGCACGTGCCAGTATTATGTTTATATCTATGTGTGCACATACATATATACATATGTAGTTGTGTTTGTACAGTAGATACGCGTAACTAGATCCATATATCCACATATTTGTTCTTACATATATATATATATATAGATATGGACATGTGTATGTTTCTACACACGCATGTATATATAATGTACGCATCTATACATTAGTGGCCTTCGGCCTATCCCGCCACCGTGCGTTGGTTGTAGGTCAGAAAGCTTTGGGATGCCTGTGAGGATCTCTTTTGGGGGTCTCTCGGAAGCCTCTTGGACTAGGTTTCGGGGTAGCCTCTCGGGCTCTCGGGGGTCTCTTCGGGGCCTCTCAGGCCCGGGCTCCTTGGGGCCTCTTGGAGCCCGTGGCAGGGCCACAACGGCCAGGCGATCGCAGACGCAGACGTTCTCCGCCGTGGGCGGGCACCATCTCGCGCCCGCGATCGGGCCGCGCAGCCGCCGGGCGAGGCGCGCCGCGGTGCGCCTCCGTGGCGACGTGCGCCTCTCGCCGCCGCGGCTTCCAGGCCGGGTGGCGCGTGGTGCGGGCACGCCACGCCGCCCGCCTCCCGCGCTCCGTGCGGGCGGCGGAAGATCGCGGAGCACGCCGCCGCCCGCCGGGCGCGGCGTCGCGCGGCAGGCGGACTCGCGACCGGCGCGGTGGCCAGCGCCGTCGCTCAGCGGCACCACGACGGGTATTCATTGACGGGTACGTCGGAAAGCTGCCGAAAGTCGTCACTTTAGGACTTCTTCCTGGCAGTGCAGCGCTCCCCACATCGGGGAGGGTCGGCTTCGCTGGGCCACTGGCCAGAGTGCCCGGTCGGTGGAGTCTCGGTGAGAGGGGCGCCGAGTCGCGCCTCGTCTCCTCGCCGCCCGCCCGCCCGCTCGGGGGTACCTGAGCCGGGCGCCACGAGCGTCGTCGGAGAGCGCGCCGTCTCACGGCCCAGGTCGGCACGGGGCGCAGCGCGGCGGCCTCGGCGGCGCGCGCGGCGCCACGCCCAAGAAGGGCGCTGGGCGCAGGCTCCCCGGGCGGCGCTAGGGGGCCACATGCGAACCCTACCCCTGCCCCCCACGATGTCTGAGGGGGAGGGTGGGGTTCACTTCGCTCGGGAGCTCCCGCACGAAGGGAACCCCAACCCTCCCCCTCAGAAATCGGGGGGGGGGGAGGAGGAGGAGGAGGGAGGAGGAGGAGGAGGAGGAGGAGGAGGAGGAGGAGAGAGGAGGAGGAGGAGGAGGGAGGAGGAGCAGGAGCAGGAGCAGGAGCAGGAGCAGGAGCAGGAGAAAGGGGGGAGGAGCAGGAGGAGGAGGAGGAGGAGGAGGAGGAGGAGAGGAGGAGGAGGAGGAGGAGGAGGAGGAGGAGGAGGAGAGGAGGAGGAGGGGGGAGGAGGAGGAGGAGGAGGAGGAGGAGGAGGGAGGAGGAGGAGGAGGGGAGGAGGAGGCGGGAGGAGGAGGAGGAGGAGGAGGAGGAGGTAGGAGGAGGAGGAGGAGGAGGAGGAGGAGGGGAGGAGCAGGAGGCAGGAGGAGGAGGAGGAGGAGGAGCAGGAGCAGGAGCAGGAGCAGGAGCAGGGCAGGAGGAGGGGGGGAGGAGCAGGAGGAGAAGGAGGAGGAGAGGAGGAGGAGAGGGAGGAGGAGGAGGAGGAGGAGGAGAAGAGGAGGAGGAGGAGAGGAGGAGGAGGAGGAGGAGAAGAGGAGGAGGAGAGGAGGAGGAGGAGAGGAGGGAGGAGGAAGCAGTGGGAGGAGGCAGAGGGAGATGACGAGGAAGAGGGGGAGTGCGAAGGAGGAGGAGGAGGAGGAGGAGGAGGAGGAGGAGGGAGGAGGAGGAGGAGGAGGAGGAGGACGAAGGAGGAGGAGGAGGGGAGGAGGAGGGAGGAAGAGGAGGAGGAGGAGGAGGAGGAGGGAGCAGGAGGAGTATGAGGAGTGGGGGGGTAGGGGCAGGGTTCGCACGTGGCCCCCCAGGCGGTGTCCAGGAGGCTCCCGAGCTCAGCACGGAGCCAGCGGGGGGCCGCGTGGGGGCCCGCCGGCGGCCGTCGGGGGCCTCGGGGGGGCTCGGGAGGGCGGTTCGCGCTCCCCTCCTCTCCGGGGCATCTCTGGAGCCCCCCTCCTCCTCCTCCTCTTCCTCCTCCTCGTCCTCCTTCTTCTCTCCGTCCTCGTCCTCCTCCTTCTCCTCGTCCTCCTCCTCCTCCTCCTCCTCCTCCTCCCCCGGCATCCCAATGTTGTTTGTTTGTTTTTGTTTTCTTGTTCTCTCGCCCTCTCTCTCTCTCTCTTTCTCTCCCTCTCTCTCTCTCTATCTGGGCTCCACATGTGGCGCGAAAGTGCGGCTCCAAGATAACTTTGGAGGCCCAACATGTTCCAGAGAGAATAGCGCATTGCCTAACGACGGCTCAGGACTGACGCGACTACCCAAGCCCCAGTGCGACCTCGGACACCAACGCGTCGATTTCCGAAACAAGGACCCGATCGTCCAGACACGGCCTTTCTGGCGCGCTATACGCTTGGTTCCATGGCAAGTAGAAGTTGCGCGCGCGAAGTGCGCGCGATGATTATTTCAAGCCTTTCTCTATATCGTTTATTTTACATATATGATCACGCGTGTATATATATATGTATATCTGCACACTGTATATATAGATTGATGTACGTATATGTATGTATGGATGTAATTATGTATGTATGCATGTATGTATGGATACATGTATGTATATATGTATAGGTGTAGGTGTATATGTATGTATGTATGCATGTATGTATGCATGTATGTCTATGTGGATGTGTGTATGTATGTATGTATGGATGTATACATGTATGTATGTATGCATGCATGCATGCGTGCGTGCATGTATGTATGTGTGTATGTGTGTATGCGTGTATGTATGTAGGTACGCATGCATGTAGGTATGCATGCATGCATGTATGTATGCATGTGTGTATGTATGTATGTAGGTAAATACGTGTATATGTATGTATGCATGCATACATGCATGTGTGTATGCACGTATGTATATATGTATGTATGTATGCATGTATGCAGGTATGGATGTGTGAATGTATGTATGTTTGCCTGCATGCATACATACATGCATGCATGCATGCATGCATGCACGCATGACGTATGTATGTATGTATGTATGTATGTATGTATGTATGTATGTATGTATGTAGGTATGCAAGTATGTATGTATATACGTATGTATGCAGGTCTGTATGTATGTATGCATGTATGTATGTATGTATGTATGTATGTATGTATGTATGTATGTATGTATGTGTGTATGTGTATATATGCATGTACATATACACATACTTATTTATGATTATAGACATACATCACGTGGTGATCGCACGCGCGTGCGCGCACACATACATCAGAGTGAAGGGGTCGAACGGTCATTCACTGTCTCCGTGTGCGTGGCTGAACTGGGATTCCGCGTTGCGGATCTGTTTGTTGTTGTTGTTGTTGTTGTTGTTGTTGTTGTTGTTGTTGCGTTGCGTTGTGTTGTTGTTGCCGTCGTTCCCCCAGCGACCCACCCGCGACCCACCCGTGACCCACCTACGACCCACCCGCGACCCAACCCCCGACCCACCCCCGACCCACCTCGCGACCCCCCCGCGACCCCCCCGCGACCCACCCGCGACCCACCTGCGACCCACCCGCGACCTAATCTCCGACCCACCCGTGACCCGCCCGCGACCCCACTGCGACTTATTTACCCGCGACCCACCCGCGACCCAGCCACGACCCACCCGCGATCCACACCGCGACCAACCCGCGACCCACCCATGACCCACCCCGCGACCCATCTGCGACCCACCCGCGACCCACCTTCGACCCACCCCGCGACGTATTCGCGACCCCACCCGCGACCCGCTTGCGACCCACTCGTGACCCTCCCGCGACCAACCCGCGACCCGGCCCGCGACCCACCCGCGGCTTACCCACATTGTTTCCACGAAAATTTGTAAAAGAATGGGCGTTTGCGGCGGGCTTCGTCATGGAGAGCCTCGCAGACTGCTGACGACCCCGCCACCCTCTCAATCTTAGCCGCAGCTGCGGGCTGCTTCGGTACATTTGTATTATCTATATATATATATGTATATATATATATATTTGTACATGGGAGTTCTTCCAGAAAAGGGCTTCGCTTTCGAGGACCGAAGGCGTTGCCATCCCTTCTTCGGCGGAAGGCGGCGGAAGTAA